AAACGTTAACATAAAACATTGATCCATTTTGTCAACAATCACTCCACCAACAGTTGTTTCGTTAACAAATGGATCGATTTTAAGAAGTTGGAAGCAACCATTTGAAATAGTCTAATAAATTAAACCGTACTACTCGAAAATGTATTTAAGGGGTTGGTTTTCGACTTGATTGAAGAATAACTCTCTTCCTAACTCTTTTCTTGACCATATCTCTCGATATAATCAAAATAACCTTAATACAACGAATGTCAAAATGATCGTAAACGCGACCAATTTAAGATACATGATCAAGAGAAAACATGAACGATGTATGAAAAAATAAAACAGTTGTTTCGTTAACAAATGGATCGAATTTAAGAAGTTGGAAGCAACCATTTGAAATAGTCTAATAAATTAAATCGTACTACTTGAAAATGTATTTAAAGGGTTGGTTTTCGACTTGGTTGAAGAATAACTCTCTTCTTAACTCTTCTCTTGACCATATCTCTCGATATAATCAAAATAACCTTAAAATAACGAATGTCAAAATGATTGTAAACGCAACCAATTTAAAGATATACGATCAAAAGGAAAATTTACAACCCAAAAATTTTTTTTTCGCATGTAATAAAATTCCATTATTAACTATTAACAATCTAATTATATAGAGCTTGACCAATCAAACCCGCCTATATAGTTATCGAATAATTGATAATATAAATAAAACGTTAATTAAATATATTTTGCAAATAGCTTCGTAGATCTCGACTTTAAGACTTACTTTGATCAAACCCGCCTATAATAATAAACGTTCATTTTAGAAACTTGATTTGCAAATAAATCTTGACTTTAACACTTACTTCTACCAAGCCCGCCTATATAATTATTTGAATAATTGATAAAGCGGTCATTAAGTATATTTTACAAACAGATTCATAGAACTTGACTTTAACACTTATTTCGATACAAGAATTGATAAACGTTCATCAGTATATTTTACAAACTTGCTTTGGAAGCTTCGTATGTCATCATACATCTTGTATTTAACAGTCTACTTTTTCTGTTGAATTTTATTTTTTTTAGATTACACAATAAAAATTATGGAATATATTTAATCCAATGAAATGGTTGGTATCCCATATTTTGCACAACTTGAAAAAAAGTTAATATCTAAGTCATAGAATTGGTGTAATAGTATCGACCAGGGAAAAATCATGCAATGATGAAGTACCAGATAAGGTCCCCTGTATCCGGCTCCCTTAGGTGTAATGCCTCACTTTGGACCGGCTGTAAAGGCTGTAAAGTCCCGCGTGGCGGAAGGTGGAACTCATGTAGGTGGCTCATGTTGGGTGTATTGACCCTTCGTGACATGACCCTTCTATTTTGTTAATTTTATTATTTATTTTATTTAGTTAAAAAGAAACATTCAAGAAATTAAAAAAAGATAAATTTTGCTAATTGATTTGATTGGTTACGTTTGTAATATACGAAGATTCATCAATCAATAATATTATAATTAGTGGCAACGATGACAACGAATCATCGTTTATTGAGGATGATAAGATCCAGTTTGTATAGGAGTGATCAAAGTAAGTGTTAAGGGCAAGATTTATGAAGCTTTCAAAATATTCTAACGAACGTTTTATCAATTATTCAATAGTTTGTACAAGTGTTAAGGACAAGATCTATGAAACTTACAAAATATTCTAACGAACGTTTATTAATTATTCAATAGTTTATGTATGAGTAATCGAAGTAAATTTTAAGGACAAGATCTATGAACAAAATATACCAACGAAGGTTTTATCAATCATTCAATTGTTTATGTAAATTTATCTTTTATTTTAACTTATATTTAATAACATCACTATAAACATTGTTGTTGTTGTTTATTGTTCTAATCATTTACATATGTATATAGGAATAAATGTAAAAGAAAAATATATATATATTTTTTACTTGATGTTGTTGTTATAATTCATTCATTATTTAGAAGAGATTAATAATAAAGTTGAAATTGATTTTGAAGGATTTTATCATCACGTTATAAAAAAATGTACAACTTTTTTTTTTTGAATCCTCCTCCTCATCTTTTGTCACCATCTATCCATTGAATAAATGATAATGATAAATAATGATGATAAAAACACCTTGTTTTGTTTTATCTCACGCTTCCCAAAAAATTCTGTTTAATAAAAGTTGATTTTTTCTTGTCTCATATTAGTCCGCACTGCTCGTTTGTATGTTTCGTTCCCTCCTACAACTTGACTACTCTCTATACAACGTCTTTTTTCTCGTACCACTGCTTTATTACAAATATAGGCATTTATTTAAAAAAAAAATCCAAAGATAACAAACAAAACCAAAGTTATCCGCATAAATTCCAAATAAGGAAAGAAACGGTCTTACGAGTTTTGTGTCGTCTTTTATAAGTGTTAACAAGGATAGGAAATCTAAACAAAAGTCCGTAAAACGATACATGAATAGGTATTTTAGAAATTAGTTTATACACATACATAAATTTACAATTATCTGGTTTAGTATATAAAATTCTTTGATGGCTATTGTTGGACCAACTTTTAATAACGCCGACCTTTATTTAAATGGTCGATCGTCCTTCAGCTTTTTGTAATAACGGATAACAATTGACGCTACAACCGATCCAATTGAGACTTTTTGGTAATTTTAATAAGCATTTTTAGGATTGTTGATTTTCAAGATCCATATAATAATTCTCAAAAGTTTTTACTAACACCTTTTCTTTCACAATCATCTATTGCGATATATTAAATTCCAAAATTAATGGTCATGATCTTAGATTTATGATCTTATGTTTTATTGAGATTTCAATTGCTTGCAAGTAAAGCAAAAAAAAATTCCAATCTACCCCTCAAAGAGTTCTTAATAGTCGCGGGACATTGCAGATCAAGTGTCATTCAATATAAACGTTACACAAAAAATTTTATTGTCGTCCACTTCAAAAAAAAAAATCTCCGTTTTTCATATAGCAAGCTTTATAAGCCAAATAAATATTCTCATCTCTTAATATTTCTACATCACCTACTTGCTATATAATGAATAATTATTTTTTATCATCACAAGATTTATCATGTAAGCATTTAAAAATTTTTTAAAAAGAAGTATTTACCACTAAAATTGGTGGTAGACCACCCAAACTTTCAGCAAATAATGGAGAAACATATGGAATTGCTAATCCTTCATTAGACACATAAAGTTGTAAACGATCATCACAATCAAATGATTTATGCCAAAATCTTGGTTTATTATCAATGTTTAACTGGATCTTTTCTGATAATTCTTTTGCTTTCTGTTCAAATTCTTCCCATGCAGGAGATCTTGCGCAATTAAACAATTCCCATGACAAATAATCTGTTTCTTCGAATCTTGGGTCTTTTGCTGATGGTGATGACTGAGCTAAGTCAACCCATGCTGACCATAAAACAATTCCAGCTGGTAAAGGTAATTTTTTTGAGTCACGTATAGCAAGTAATGTTGCCATTGCCAGACCACCACCTGCACTAGTGCCCATTATTACAATATTTTTAGGTTCAATTGGTAGAAAATCAGCATCGCTTGGTGGATCAATAAGATAATTGTAGGCAGTTATTGAGTCATGTAAAGCAGCAGGAAATTGATTTTGTGGTGCGAGTCTATAATTTATTACTTGAAAGTTTTTTGAATAAAATAAAAAAATTATGTGTTGTTTGTTAGTTGATTAAACCTTTTTTTTTCATAATTCATTTAAATACTTACCAAATAGTCTTGAATTTGTAGATTTTGCAATCTTAGAAGTATAACTACGATAACCAGGGGGATATAAAAAATATCCGCCACCATGTACATACAAAATAACTTTATCATATTTTTTCTTTTTATTATTGTTTTCTTCTCCTCCCTCTTTTTTTTTAACATAAACCCATTCACATTCTAATCCATTTCCAAGGTTCACACTTCTCCAATCATCAAGAAGCACATGATTATAATCTTTTAAAATATCATCAATGTAAATTTCTGATTTTTTACGAAGTGAATTTGACAATGACAGCTCATCTACAAGTATACCCTTATCGGCAGCTGTTGGTTTATTTGTTCCTTGAAGACTTTCGATAGTTTGTTTGGTTGGTGATGCCATCCCATCTTTTACAAGTCTGAATATCAAATAAAGCTTCAAATCCCATGATGGTTGAGGTGGTCCATAACGATAATAATCGATGATTAATGAGCATATCATAGGCACTTTTTGAAGTAATTTCGCGAAATTTAACATACTTTATTTTAAAATATTTTAATTAATATTGTCACAGAGGATTAATTGACACAAAAAAAATTTTAGACAAGACTTTAGCTGTGACTGCACTACAATTTAATGAAAATCGTGAAACTTGGACAATTTTTGCAGAACGATCTATTTATTCTTTATTCTTGAAAGCTTTTTCTGTGACGTTAGTTTTTTCCCCTTAATATTAATATGAATATTAACTCATTAATTGTTCCACCCTTATAAATGTATGAAATTCATTTATATAAAAAAAATGTTCAAGTTTTTTGATTCTAATACCAATCTCTATCATTACTAGGATAAATCATGTCATTGCGGGTTAACGGTTAACCAATCTGGAAAATGAACTGCAGATTTTTACAAAATATTAATATTAATATATATCAAATGCTTGCCGAAAATCCCGAAACTATAATTGATTTTTCAATAGTTTAACCTAGAGGTTGGAATCGACTACTACTAAAATTTTTTGTTCAACTAATAGTCGACTAAAATAATAACAACTGATTATTTATAAATATATAAATTCTCATCACATAACATTAACACAAAAAAAAATATTATAATGCAATATCCCAATACATAATAAAAAACATTATATATCATTATAATTTTCTGTTTTATTAATATTGATATTAATAATAATATAGAAACATGCATCTTTTCGTACTAGTCCTAAAATATGAAAACGGTACAGAAATCATGCTAATACAGAATACATTTTCCCGCGTGCTTTCGTATGATGATAATGAAAAATTCATTTAATATGGAAACACATAGAAAAGCCCATTTCATATGTATATCCCGTATTAATATTAATATAGGATAAAATGCATAAGAAAATTGTGAAGCAAAAATTTTAAAAATCGATTGTAATGCGAATTTAATTATAATTCATCGAAACAAGATTCTCTGAAACAGAGAGTTTTCATTGGATCAATTTATTTATATGTATTACTATATCGATTCCGCATTAAATCAAATCATGATTTATTGGGATAATTTATTTAAATATTAGATATATGATAATGGATTCAAATCGGATTAGGTGATTTAATCTGAATTTCGTTGGCTCGTTCGGAGTCTTAGAAACAATTAGCTGGTCTAAACGTTGTTTGTTGTTCTATTACAGGTTTGATGAAATTATTGCTTTAATTGACACTCATCTCAAGATTTTTATAAAACTAGGAGGGTTTTTTATAAAGCAAACACACACAATTGGGACATTTAAAAGTTTGTTAACAGTCGCAGGACATTGCAGATCTACAGGGGGTCAAGTGTCACTCACTATATAATAAAAATTTTTTGATCAACACGGAATTTTATATATATGAAAAAATGAAGAAAAAAATCACGCTTTCATACACAAACTTGCCTGATTTAATCAAATTGTTACTTGAATCATAAAAAATAACAAATATATGAAAAA